TTTTTTCCACAACCTTATATGGGCGAAAAAGCCGGCGAAGATGAATCTACCCCATACTATTAGTCCACCGAGACATATATTAATAGAACTAGAAATTTGGAAACTTACGGTTGATTTCATCTTCCGTTATAGGGCCGGGATGCGACGCCACCGCGGCCTTGATCTCATCGGTACCGGCTAATTTTACGGCTACCATCCCTGATATGCGAATGCAAGTACATAAATTTCCGGGTTCGGGTTCGGGTTCGGTTTATTGCCTTTTGGTCTACTTAAGAACATATAGTTACAGAATTAATCTACCTCCCCAGCAATAACCTGTAGCACCTACTGCAGATACGCCTTTGTTTTTAAGGGCAGCAATCACTGCCTTTGCATCTTCAAGTTCTTTCACCTACAAGAGGAAGGGAGTCGGATCGAAATGTCGAATTTAAGGTCGAATTATGATTCTCATCCCTATACTATATTCGACTTAGATTATTCGATCCCCCATCGAATATCAGATTCAAACAACACAAATTTTACCAGCTGAAGAAGAAATTAACTGACCGTGTTATGCTTGCTGAGCCATACTTCTCTATTGAACTGAGGATTGCTGCGGTCAGCAGGATCACCATAGAAGAAATCAGGAACCACCACAAAGTATCCAGCAGTTGCAACCTTGTCTGCCAGTTTCCTGCAAGTAAGAATATAATAAAACAAATAAATTATGAATTAAATCAAGTCACCTATAATTAACATTTGAGAGATGAGTTGGCATAACAGTTAACAAAATCAGTATAATTATATATTTGGTCCTCATTACTTATACAACCTATTAAATTGGTCCTAATTTAAATTTAATTCAATAAATTTATTGAATGGATATACCATGATCTTATTAGAGGATTAAATTTATTGAATTAAAGTGAAATCAAAATCGAATTGATAGAATATGTAAGCAATGGGAATTGAGTCTGTAATTATACCAAATTTTTTTACTGCCACGATAGCTCTTCTATCAAATGTTAACATTTAACAATAAGTAACTTGATTAACGACATTTAAATAGCTAAATGGTGCATGAATCAAATGATCTCCGAGGTAAAGGAATTGTTGTTATTCCTTGAGGACCCAGATTTGAGAACCATAGATGCCAGGGGTGTAAGCATTCAATGGTAAAAAGTCAAGAGTTATCTTTGAACAGATATTGTCTTATACATTTCCTTGATTAATTAAAAAAAAAGTTAAATAGTCTTATTGACAAAATTAAAAATTCAATTATTAGATTAAAAACTCTGTCCATAATTAAATGATCACGATTGTAGTTAAAATAGAACAAAATGATCATATCGGTGGTCAGATTGAAATCTTTCATGATTAAGATTGGTGGTCTGGTTTACAAGTTTGTTTTTTTATCAAGTTAAGGTGATTATAAAATAGTATATATTTTAATTACTATCGACCATTTGACAATAAACTTTAAAATCATCCTATTACAATCACTAGATCTCGAACCATAACATTTAAGAACTGTAACCATAACATTAAGTTTAGGTACTAAAATGGATCAAAACTGATAGTTTAAGTATTAAATTCGTTAAGTTTGTACTAAAACGAAACAAAAACTAAAAGTTAGGAATAATTTTGAAAAACTTAAAAGTTTAAATACTAAAATGTATCAAAACTGATAGTTTAGATACTAAATGTGTAGATTAGCCAAAATGAAAACTCACCGCCAACAGAACCCAGGAGCTCTGATGGATGAAACCGGGAAATGCTCACGTGCGGCAACTTAATATACGGCTAAAATAAGGCGCTACCGGTTTTATTATTATTTTAAATAACAAAACCGATAAAAAATGACCGAAAACATTATTTTTTTACCGGTTCTAATTACCGAAATAGGTAAATACAGTAGAAAAAATTCGGTCAAAACATTAATGTTTTAGGTGGATTTTTCTACCGTGATTACCTATTTCGGTAATTAATAATAACAAAATCGGTAGAAATAATAATATTTTCGATCTTTTTTTATCGATTTTATTATTTAAAATAAAAAAATCGATAGCGTCTTTTTTTAGTCGTATATTAAGCTACCGCACTGTATAACTTCCCAATGAAACCCCTTTACTTTTCAAGGCTTCAATTATTAGCTTTGCATCCTCGAAACCCTTAGACTAAACAAGCAATTAAATGCATGCATGGGAGCTTAAAACTTCAAAACAGGAGCATTAGCAGACCAACATAAATTTTATGTTAGGGGACAAATTTATAAAATTTAGAAGATTAAAATAAATAATCAATAGAAAATATAAGGAAAATATCTAAAATATATGATAATTTAAAATTTTCTGAGGGAGCGATCCAATGGCTGATGTATGTAGAACCCAAGGTGGGCACTTGCCTACCCTGCAATCCAAACTTCTTTGTGTTAGTTGTTTATCTTACAGTAAGTGTCCATCTTGAAATTTTATTGTGACACCCCCTACGAATTTTTTTGTTATTAATATATATATATATATATATGTGTGTGTGTGTGTGTCCACCCTAAAAAAATATTTTTGGGTCCGCCACTAGATCGATCGCCCTTTGAAGGTATCATTTTAGCATTGAATACTTGTAAAAAAGAGGCACTAACCGGTGCATGATCCTTTAGCCTGGCAGTTAAAGGTAGGGATTCAAATCGCAGTAGCGGTCGCGATTTCGGTCACGTAGTGTTTACCACGATTGCTGTCATAGCGGGTGCTATTGCGTACATAACGGGCGCTATTACGAGTATAGCGAATATTACGGAGGTAACCACCAAATAGAACCCAGCAGCTGCAACCTTGTCTGCAAGCGTCTACATACCAATCAAAACCAACTTAAATCAGGCTCAAGAAGCTGGTACGGTTCAACTCGGGTTAATGGACTAAATTGTAAGAAATGTAAATTTATTGTTAAAAATAGGAAGTGAAGTTACAGATATTCTATCGTATTAGAAGGGGGCGTGATTCAAATTTAATAAAAGTGAACTTAAAATGATGAAAGAATCAAGCAGAGGATGAATTAGAAACGGGTATTCGAGTTAGTCAAATTGAGTCGTATTTTATCATTTAAATTTTATTTAAATTTTTTTCGAATCGAATCAAATCGAGTTTTATTCGCTCTTATTTTTCAGAGTCATAGAAGAGAGAATAATAGAAACAAAATATCAGCAAAAATGGAGGCCATTATAGAAAAATTAGCCTCACCTCAAGCTTGGAGCCTCATATCCTGCAAATCCATGAGAAGAAACAGCGAAGTTAGCGAATCTATGGAAAAAATTGTTTTCGTTCTTAAAATTTTATAAATTTATATTTTTAAGTTTATCGTAACATAAAATCTTTTGTTCGTCCCGATTAAAACTATATACTAAATGACGCAAATTTCACATTAAAGACAGAAGCAAAATGATCAGACAAAAGGAGAGAAGCGAAGAATGGATAATTAAGTACCGAAAACATCAGAGGCAAGAAGAACAGCAAGCTTGGATTGAAGCGATCCAGAGACTTAAGCGTTGAAGCCGGCAAGTTTCTCGACGTGACCGCCGCCACTTGCAGGGTCCAACGCCGGTGGGTTCGAACAGCACTGACTGCCTGACATTCTTCTCTTCCTCTCCGAACAATAACAAAAACTTTCACTTGCTTCGTTAGACAACGTTTAAACGTTGAGACTCTACTCAATTATAAAAATTAATCCACTAATTACTAAAAAGTCGAGTTATTTGACTTATATTTTATAACTCATTTTATTCGAAATTTTTGAGTCAAATCTATTTTTTTTAGCATCGTGTTGAGTCAACATATTTAATTTTTCGAGTTTTAAGTTTTATTCACCACTAAGTTGTGATGTACACAAATTTTCAAATGTGTGTACATAATTTTAAATTTGTTCAATATAAGAATGGATTGAATGGAGTCGACGAGATATATCGTCCCTGAAAATTTTAAATTTTAATATAATTTAAACATTTTTATATTTTTTTATTAATAATTTATTTTGTTTTCTAAATTTTTCTAAATTTATTTTAGCATAAAAATGTGTTACGAATAAATGATGAAATTAAAACTGAAAAGAGTGTGAACCTAACATCACTGACTATTTTAATATTGCTTTGTTGAACTTCTAACTATTAAAATTTATAAAATTATCTCCTAATTATTTATATATTACAAACTCATCATTTTTCGTTGGAAAAATGACGGCGAGATAAAAGTTAACTTGCTAATTGGAATATAATAAAATTTAATCCTAGAAACTCAAACAATTCAGACACAATCAAATTTTAACGAAAAATGATGAGTTTGAAACATATGAATAATCGAGTGACTATTTTGAAACTTTTAATAGCCGAAAAACTCAATAAAGCAACACCTTATATATATAACTTTTAATAGTGGAAAAACTTAAGAAATACTCTATATTCATTGACATAAAAATAAATGGTTTAAAAAATCTAAAAATTCAACTGATAATATAATATTCATCCATTCAAACACCGACTATTTTAATATTGCTTTGTTGAACTTCTAACTATTAAAATTTATAAAATTGTCACCTGATTATATATATATTACAAACTCATCATTTTTCGTTAGAAAAATGACGACGAGATAAAAGTTAACTTGCTAACTGGAATATAATAAAATTTAATCCCAGAATCTCAAACAATTCAGACACAATCAAATTTTAACGAAAAATGATAAGTTTGAAACATATGAATAATCGAGTGACTATTTTGAAACTTTTAATAGTCGATAAACTCAATAAAACAACACCCTACGGATATAACTTTTAATAGTCGAAAAATTTAACAAAGCAACACTCTATAATCATTGACATAAAAATAAATGGTTTAAAAAATCTAAAAATTCAACTGATAATATAATATTCATCCATTCAAACACACCCTAGATCACAAGTACGAACAATACGACGATCGGATATATTTAAATTTTAATATAAATAGTTTTCTTAATTATGCAATGCACCATTTATTATTATTATTTTACTTGACATACTTACTAAGCCAATTAAACATATCATCATGAGCCTCTTGGGCACTCTTTACAGCTGATTCATCCTCATCATTGTACCTCATTGTCCATCCATGTCCAACACCAGGGAAAATTTTCACCATACTATCCAACTGCCAAACACATGCCATGTTAATAAACAAACGGATACGAACAGAGGCTCGTAATTCATTCGAAATCAGTTCATTTACGGAACCTCGTACCTCGGACTTTGTCGACAGCATCTGTTCGAACTGTTTCAATTTCTCAGCTGGAAATATACTGTCAAACTCAGCTCCCAATATAGCAGTTGGAACTTTAATCTCTGAAGTAATGAGCCACACATGCTATTATTCCACCAAGACATATATTAATAGAACTCGAAATTTGGAAACTTACTGTTGATTTCATCTTCCGTTATAGGGCCGGGATGCGACGCCACCGCGGCCTTGATCTCATCGGTACCGGCTAATTTTACGGCTACCATCCCTGATATGTGAATGCAAGTACATAAATTTTCGGGTTCGGGTTCGGTTTTTTGCCTTTTGGTCTACTTAAGAACATATAGTTACAGAATTAATCTACCTCCCCAGCAATAACCTGTAGCACCTACTGCAGATACGCCTTTGCTTTTAAGGGCAGCAATCACTGCCTTTGCATTTTCAAGTCCTTTCACCTACAAGAGGTAGGGATTCCGATCGAAACATCGAATTTAAGGTCGAATTATGATTCTCGTCCCTATACTATATTCGACTTAGATTATTCGATCCCCCTATCGATATACCAGATTCAAACAACAAAAATTTTACCAGCAGAAGAAATTAACTGACCGTCTCATGCTTGTTGAGCCATGCTTGTATGTTAAAGTCGGGATTATTGGGGTCATAAGGATCGCCATAGAAGAAATCAGGAACCACCACAAAGTACCCTGCTGCTGCAACCTTGTCTACCAGTTTCCTGCAAGTGAAAATACAATATAAATTATAAAAAATCAAATAATATTAATTCAGTAAAAGAAAATATAATGAAACAAATAAATTATAAATTGGATAGTAATATAGTGAAGGTATTTCTGTTCTTAAATTCTTATAAATTTGGGTAAAGTGTACAAATGCCTCGACTACAGGGTTTTTTTTAGTCCCTCGAGTATCAAAAGTTACAAAATGATCCTCCGACTATAGGAAGTTATTTTGTTGAGTCCACTGATTATTAAAAGTTACAAAATGATCACTCTACTATTCATTATGTTCCAAATTCATCCTTTTCCGCTAAAAAATTGACAATAGTATGAGTTTAATGTTAATCTGTTATTTGACATATGATAAAATTTAATCTTATAATCTCAAATGAATATCATATCTAAGACAACAGACTAACATCCATCTCATATATTGTTAAATTTTTAACAGAAAATGACGAATTTGAAAAATAATTAATAGTCGGGTGACCATTTTGTAACTTTTAATAGTTAAAAGACTCAACAAAACAATATCTTATAATCGAGAAATCATTTTGTAACTTTTAATAGTTGAGGAACTCAATAAAACCATATCTTATAGTCGAGGAACCATTTATATACTTTACCCTATAATTTTTTTTATAAAAATTAAATAGTAATGTGTCACTTTCGTGCCTTTTTTTATCTGATGCTAGTAAATTTTGTGGGGGAACAGAACGTAAATAATAGTTGGGAAAATTAATACTCATGACCATTTAATTATGAGGGATCATAGTCTAATCATCAATATTTCGATTTTATAAATTAGACCATTTCAATCAAGTCACATGTCGTTAACATTTGACAGAAGAGTCAAATTAGTTGAGTATGCAAGTAAAAAAGACAATATATAATTATACTAATTTTATAAACTATCGATCGGTGGTTTAGTTGACGTCATCTAAATAGTTAATGATCTAGTTGACAAAATGAAAAAAAAAATAGTTATTAACAGGGTTTCAAATCACGGTCCGAAAACGTGATAGCGTCCATGAAATAGTGATTTCGTCGACATCCGAATTACCCGCTACACCCGCAATAACACCAAATAACGCCCGCGACGGCCACAATCATGGTAAACTCGAAATGACCGAAAATACGACCGCGATTTGAAACCCTCATTATTAGATTAGAATCCTTCCATAATTAAGGGGTCACAGGTGTAGTTAAAATGAGAATAAAATAATCAGATCGATGATCATATTAGAAGCATGGTCTAAGTTACAAATTTAGGGACTATAATGGGACAAAAAGCTTGAATACGAAAATGAATAAATAGATAGAGTTAAGCGATCAACTTGTGAATTAAACCTAACAAGAAACAGTACCGGTAATAATCGATCTAGCTATCAAAACATACCTCAAATTTGGGGATTCAAATCCTGCAAGAGACATCAATACAACCACCAACAAATCAATTCAAAACCCTAGCTATGATTTTCCAAAAAAGCAAGCAAAGAAGAAGAATGTTCACTGGAAACCAAACTATTAGCTGGAAATATAACTACGTATAAATCAATAAACAGAGTAAATCGATCATATGATTACCGAAAGCATCGTTGATGAAGAGGATGGCGAGTTTCGAATCGGGAGGGCCGTTGATATAAGCAGTGAGGCCACCGATTTCCTGAACCGATCCTCCTCCGTTTGCTGCCGCGGTGCTTTTGCTCGGTGGGTTCTCAAAGCACTGAGAGCTTAACATATTTTCTTCTTAATTTTTTTTCTTTTGAAGATTTGAAAGATGTAATGTTGAAGAAGGGGAGGAGTGGGTGGACATTTTATTGGAAGAAGGAGACAAAGGAAGGGACGTCATGGCGTTCGTCATAGGAATTGTACGTGCGTCGCATTCGCACGCTTGTGACTACTATATTTTAAATTTTCTGGTGACGGAAAATGCCTCAAACGGCGGTGAGAATAGTTGTTAAAGGTGTCGATTATACGTGTTGTATCTCCGGATACATCTTCATATATCTTATCATAGTTTCAGTGTTTCACCGTCATAGTCTAGCCTTAGTCCTTTTATGATTAAGGTATTTATAGCTCGAGCAAAACAAACTGGTCACAACTCTTCATTCAAATTAAAAATGATAAATCGATCAAATTTTGACAAAACTCTTTTATTCTCATCAACAATTTAAATCCTTCGAAAGTTTACTGATAAATATGAGATTGCAAGTAAGATTAGGTACAAAAAGGACATTATCAAGAAGCATATTCTTATTGAGAGAGACCATGTCCATGAATCTGGAAAAAGGAACCATCTGCAGTTTAATAGTCCTCCCAAATGTTGCCAAATTTTTTTTAAACAATGTTCTGTTGCCCGTCATGTGATCTGAAACCCCAGAGTCAAGGACCCAAGTGGGGGTTGACTGTTGAGAAAGAAGGGTTGTAGAAACAGTTTTACCTTCTGGTTCAACCATGGCTAGATTACTCACTCGAGGCCTTGCTAATTGACTAAACATCCTCTGAAGATTTGCAATTTGTTCCTTGGTGAAATTAGAAACAGTAGTAGCAGAAGCTGAGGTGGACTGAGTTTACCCTTCGGGATAAATTTCACTTCGGAATATTCGTGGATTCACCATTCGAGATAAATTTCACTTCGAAATATCAGTAGATTCACCCTTCGGGATGAATTTCACTTTGGATTATCAGTGGATTCACCTTTTGGGAAGAATTTCACTTTGAAATATCAGCGAATTCACCCTTCGGGATGAATTTTACTTTGGATTATCAGTGGCTCCCCCTCGAGGCGGACTCTAATTCTGATGGTGTGTAGTAGAGAGTGGTTCTGAGAACCTACTCTTCAGACGGTGTAAGGTGATCGGGTGCATTGACATTTGCATATCATTCGTACCTTGAAATATTATTGATTCTAATTGTGATTATACTTGTTTGATTTTCTAAATACTTTGTTTATTCGCATATTTTGACCACACTGAGCTGTATAGTCCACCCCTTTATTTCTCCCTTTCAAATATATCGGGATGTTAAGATCATATCGATAACTCAAGGACCAGAGTTTTAGATTTAAATTACTTTTTTAATTATTATTTTTTGATAAATTGATAATAATTGTATAAATTATTTGAAAATATGATTTTATATATGTTAAAATTTTTGAATAAATTTTTGGATCATTTTAGTAATCAATGTAACCTTCTAGATTTCACCGTAACGTCTAGGCCGGATTTAGGATCACCTAATGATCTAAATATACACCCAGAAACAAGAAAATTATAGTTTGAATAATCAAAACACGATCCAATGTTCACAAATTCGTACCTTATACATGGTGAGAGGGTGCTCATATTCTTCTCTTTCAAAGATAATCCCGAGTTTGACAAATGGATATTCTCCGAGAACGCATTTGGCATGAGCAGAAGTATTGCACCTTGTACGATGATAAAACCGAAGATTCGGTTCTCGACTTCCTTCACATATATCACAGAAAAGGCCTATATTAAAGCACTGGAATTCAATCCTTTTTATGGTGCAACTACATCATGATTTCTCGCCCTGGACGTCTTTTCCGATGCCCTTGTTGTCGATGATTTCCCTTCCGCCGAAGCTAGTCTTTAGATCGTTCCCCGTTTTGGAGCTTCCAGCCATACTCGCTCGATTGAGGTTGCTGAAACCAGCTTCCTCGTCGAAATGCTTGCTTCTTACGGAAACCTCAGCTCGGCTTTGATCGTCGTCCTTGTCACCACTATTGAAAGATGAACCGGAAACATACGAGACAATATGCATTGACTTTCACATGATCCATAAATGAATTTCCGGATGTTGTTACGTGTACTAATAAAGATTTATTAAAGATTACGAGTAAGTCTAAGATCAATACATTCATATTTTTATGGTGTTACGATATTATTACATCCATATGTGACTAATGTGTTCGAGGCTCGAATCGAACTCGATTAAAGCTTTCGAGAGGTAAGTTCAGTTCCAGCAACAATGGCCATCGCAATCAAGATCCTTGCATGCCTATTTTGTTCCGCAACGGGATTAGGAGGATTGGATGGAGCAACTAGCCTGTGCTCTAGGTGCTCCTCGTTTGGCCTGCAACATGCCGTCGTAATCGTTCTCGAAGAATGCCAACGTCGCTTGCTGGAAACCATTCATCACGTCGTGAGCGCTTTCTTCTCCACCGGATCGGTCGCTCTCTTGAGGAGTCCCACGATGAGAACATGCGTGTTGGTCGCGACCTTAAGCGTCTGCTCGACGGTTATCTACGTTAGAGCCGTGATATCCGTGGTCGGACTTTGCAAGTTTCGATTGAAGGTGTTGTTACAAAACGCATATTCCTCCATCTGCCTACATATTTTATCGATCGACGCTTGAGTTGCTTCGTCACACAATGCAGGGTTGATGAAGATGAAGCTGCCTGACAAAGCTAGAAGTATAATATATGATTGAGACAAACAATATATGATTGATATGAGTATGTGATATGATGATGGGGATGTGAGTAAGTGATTATAAGTATGAACATGATAGCATGAATGATATGATTGATATCAAGATAAATACATAATATGAAGAATGAACCTGATGACATGTTAAATGACATGAGAATCAGGATTATCCGTGGGCAAGTGTGGCATGCAATACGTCATAGGCCCCAAAATCTAGAGGCACATATTTCAAAAAAATATAATAATTTTATTTTTAAGAGCGTTCGAGGATGATACTTTTAAATAAAATGTTACAATTATAAAGTTTTTGTGACATTATTTTAATTTCATATGTTTGATTTATTTTTAATTTTATAAGACATAAGAATAATACGATGAATTTTGATATTTTACAATTTTATCTTATTATAAAATATTTTAAGAGGATTATTTTTAAAAATAGTACAAGACCTTCACATCTTTTAGGGCGGGTCTGACGTGAATGTTAAAACTATATAAAAATGAAATCATAAAAACATACATGATCCGAATTTATGATGATTAAAGTGTTTTGAAACACATTCATGATATTTAAGCATGCTTTTGGCACAATGAATCTGCACTTTGATCCACTTAAATATAAGCACGGATAGACGCATTATTTTATATTAAAATGCGAAATATTAATAATAATGATGACGAGGTGTATATCTATGTCATAAAATGGATATTTAATATTATTTAAGATAATGATAATAATAATAATAAATTGTTAAACAGATTTGAAATTAAAAAAAATAAACGAGAATGAAATTTAGAGAGAGAAAAGAGGGTTTCCAAAGAAAGTTTCATAATTCATCTCATTCAACCACTGCCAGCCTTCGTTGTCTTAAACTTGTCAAAGTAGTCTTGGTATACTTATCAACAAAGCAAAGCCCCTCATTGATTCACTCTCAAGGATTCTTTCTCCATTTGAAAAATATACATAGCATGCCACTTAATTTTGGATAACCAATATAAATAAAACATGTGTTAGTAGTAGGGATGGGAATGTGTCGGATCAGATTTTCAGTCCACTCGATCGGAACATGATTCAAAAATATACACCTTTCACCAAAGCCGAATTCGACCCACCTTTTTGAGATAAAGTCAAAACCCGACTTGAAATAATATATTTATTTAAAAATATTATTTTTATTAAATAATAAAAATAGAGATTTAATTGAAAAATATATATAAAGGGGTATTATTGTAACTATCCCTAAATAAATAAGGTAAAATTATAATTTTTTGGATCGATTCATATATTTTTCACCCTAAACTTGAATCCAATCCAAATTGAAACTTTTATTTTTAAAATATGACCTGATCAGGTCAGGTCAGAACCATGGGTTCCGATGCCATGCCCATTCCTAGTTAGTAGGATGACCGATGAGTGGGTGACGACATTTGTATCCCTTCAAATTTTTAACTTTTCCTATATTTTAGATTTTTTGGTATATAAGATTTAACGGTTTAAAATTGATTAAATAATATAATTGATTTAATTTTTGAATAAAAATATATTTTATTTAATTTCTTAGTTTAAGAATTTAATTAGATAAAAAAATCAAAGACCTAATTAATTTTATTCAAAATTCAAAAAAAATCAGATATTATTAAATTTATAAATATTTAATATATCAAAATTTAAATAAAATAAAATAAAATATGAAAATCCAAAGCAAACCCAAAATTGATGATATATATCAAAATATTGGTGGAGTGTTCCCATTAATTCATTTAATTAATGTTTTTTATGTCAAAAAAATATATTATTGGAAAAATATTAAAGTCCATAAAATAATTATTAATATAATTATAAATTTTAAAAATATGTTCTTATTAAGAACAATTATTTAATACATGATTGTAATTTTTTCACAAATAATTTTAATCTATCATTATATATAGACACATAATAATAAATTAAGATGTTTATAAAAGCTTTAATATATTGAATAATAATTATTTTAATCCAACGAACTCTTTCCCGCTAATGTCTCAATTAGGGCAGTTAATGGACGATTTAGCCTAAACGGTCGGTTAATTATTATAATGTTTATGAGATTTTTTTAACTGTACATAATCATTCAGAAATAGTTAACCGCTAATTGTTAATCATTATTAACGGTTCAGTTACAGGTTAACCTCCTATTACAATTATTTGTACTACAAAAAATATATAACTTAATACATACTTACGCCGATGTAAGTTAATAAAAAATGTAGCACTTAACGCATACTTATATCGGTGTAATTATGTATATCTCCAAATATCTTAGTACCTAACAATAAACACATAATTATAT